CCTAAACCCTAAACCCCAGGGTCTTGGAGCTTCCAGCCTGCGAGTCGGAGGCGCGATCAGGTTTAGGGTTTAGGGTTTAGGGTTTAGGGTTTCGGGTTTAGGGTTTAGGGTTTAGGGTTTAGGGTTTCGGGTTTAGGGTTTAGGGTTTAGGGGGATTTTAGTGCTCTTCTGCTTCTCGGGGTTTTTAGGACCCAGGAATCCCTATACCCATAGGCCCCATAGTAGTTCCTTTTTGGGATTGCTTTGTAGGATTCTAAATCATGAACTAAACCAGGTTTGGGTTGGGTTTTTGTTTGGGTTTTGGGGAGGGTTTTGGTACGTTCTTGCGGTTTTCGCACCCTTGTGAAACCCTTGAAGGACCTTGCGGTAAACCCCTACAACTTGTAAAGCCCTGGCTGACCGTTGCCAATACACTAGTTCCCCAAGCCCCAAACCCTAAACCCTAAACCCTAAACCGTGGGTTGGAGTCCGACCCGCCGCTCAGGCGGAGTGCGTGAATGAACGGCCACAGAAGTTCGACAAGGCTTGTGGGGAGAACCAGAAAGGAGGGCTCCGGGTGGCTACAAGGGCTACTAAAACAGTTACTAAACCCTAAACCCTAAACCCTAAACCTTAAACCCTAAACCCTAAACCCTAAACCACACTATACGGATTACCCTAAGGCTTCCTGTAAGGGTTTACTGAAAGGGTTCTCTGGGGTGTTAGGGTTGAGGGTTTCCGGTCTTGGCTTAGGATCTAGGGTTTGGGTCCTAGAGAACCATGAGGGCGAAGTTTTGTTGGGCTACCTTAACCTACCAAAACCTACTTTTTTGTAGGGTCCCTATAAGTTCCATGTTAGGGTTTATACTAAGACACTAAGAACCTAAAAAAAAGAGGGTTTTGGTGGGTTAAGGTATGGTCAGGAGATGGCCTTCAGGGTGTAGGGTCTGGAGTTTAGGGTTGCCTTCAGGATCAGAGGCAGTTTACGGGCTGGGTTTGCAGGATGTGAGTGGGGGTTAGGGGTTAGTACAGTGGTGTTCTGAAACAGTGAGGTTTAGAGCTTGAGTATGGGCTGAGGTAACCGTCGATTACACTGGCTGGCAGCGGGACGGCAAAATGCAACTTGGCCACATGGCAAGTGCAGTCATCGGGAGTGCAAAGTCCGGCAAGAACCGTTGTGAGTTTGAGCAACTATACCCGAAGCTTTGATTTACCAAGAGCGACCAAAAGCTTCGTCCTGTAATTTCAGCCCCCAGAATCAATCCACACAGCGGATTCAATGAGAAATACTCACATCACACATCATTCCCTCAACCTAGCCGCCCTACACCCTATAACACCGAACTCCCTAAACCCCGAACCCCTAATTACACCCTAAACTCCTTAGCTCCTAATCAAACCCTAAACCCTTAGCCCTACAAGCCCCCAAACGCCGCCTCCTTGAGCCTTTCCCTTAGTACCTCAGGTTCGACTCCAGCGTGAAGCGCGGGCAGCGGGCGACCTTCGGCGTCAGCCAGGTGATCAAGGGATGGACGGAAGGACCTGGGCGAGTTCGAGGGTCTCGCTTGGCACAGCAAAGGGGGTTAAGAATCAGAAGAGGGTTTTAGGGTTTGTTTTTTAGATGTGGCATGCCTATACAGCAGCTGCTGCAAGGGAATATGTTGACTTACTTTTGCGACCCCTATATGAGCTTCTTTGCAGGGCTCAACAGGATGTGGGTGCACGTTGCCCTGTTGTTCTTGTTGTTACTAGCAAAACCGACGCCCTTTTAAATGATGATCCAATATATGTCTCAAGGTTCCTGATCATAAGTGTGTATGCTCCATATACCGCCGCAAACCCTAATTTAATTATCAAGGTCCCTATTGTTTTGGTCTGATGCAGGTTGCCATGGCGATGTTGCTTTTTGGGGGGTCATCTTGCAAATGGTCCTGGTGGTGCCGGCGCACAAGATGATCCCTTTGTTGTTGGGCATGACGGCGACGGTGCACCTGATAATACTGATGATGATGATGGTGATGATGAAGATGTTGATGTGATGATAGTACTGTATAGCACAGTCTAATCTAGCCTAGCTTAGCCTAGCCTAGCCCTAGTCCTAGTCCTAGTCCTAGTCCTAGTCTAGTGCAGTATAGTCGGGTCTAGTCTAGTCTAGTCTAGTCTAGTCTAGTCTAGTCTAGTCTAGTCTAGTCTAGTCTAGTCTAGTCTAGTCTAGTCTAGTCTAGTCTAGTCTAGTCTAGTCTAGTCTAGTACAACATATCTAACGTGCTATAATCGAGTATAACATGATATATACATTATGTATTATCAGACTGTAACATAAAATATGTATTAAAGCAATATAACTAAGATAATGTAATGTGATGATTGCGACAAGGATGTTGGTGATGATAATGAAGGGGAGGATGCCGCTGGCAGACTCAATGCACTTTTGGTTTCTCGGTGGGGCACTCCAGCTGATAGTTAGGGTATCAAACGCGGTCCCCACCCCCAGTCCCAGCTTGCAACCGCCCTTCCATCCGGTCACCATGGACTTGTGTAACAGCTCGTTTCCAAGGCGCAGTCTTTGAAGGTATGTTTGGTTGTCGTGAGTATTTATTCTTCTAGGTGCCGAGTAAAATACACTTCGTGAGAACAGGTCCGAGCAGTAGAACTTTGGGGGTGAAGGTGGGTTCAGGGGCTTGGGGTCAGCGTCTAGGTTTAGTATGATTGCCATGCTGGACTGATCGCGCCAGGATTGCAGCTCATGGCACCTGGGGAGAAGCGCCGTTTTTGGATTCCGGCAGCCTGCTCGAACGCTCATGTGAGTCTTGGGCACATGTCTACAGGACCAAGAACATGGTCGTGTAGTCCCAGAAACAAGCATGAGAAGAATCAGTGCTTAAGACGTCACCACTCATCAACCATCATCGTGTACCTCATCCTCATCCTCATCCTCATCCTCATCCTCATCCTCATCCTCATCCTCATCCTCATCCTCATCCTCATCCTCATCCTCATCCTCATCCTCATCCTCATCCTATATATATATATAGATAACTTTCATCATCACCATCGACAGTCGTCATCGTCATCACCTTTACCTTCACCATCGCTATCACCGTCACGTCACCATCACCATCACCATCATCGTCACCATCACCCTGACCATCATCGTCGCCATCGTCATGGTGGCGCCAATCCGAATCCTGACAATGCCATCTGCGGCCATTGCTCGGACAAGCAAGAGCAGCGTCAACTAGCCTTGTGGTAGGAAGCCGAACACTTCGAAACTCAGGTAGTGGGCTCGCGGTAAGAAGCGATCCCTACACCTCGAATCCCAGTCTCCAAACCTTAAACCTCAGCCGAAAGACGGTTGCCTACGAATTCTCTCAACGGCTTTAGGTGAGCCTCAAACCCGAGCCGTTGAGGCCAAGCTGGCATACGGAGACAATCCGCGAGGGGGCGCTCCGGGGGGTCCGTTGGTGTTTGATGTCCTGGCCTGAGATTCAGTTTCTAAAATGCTCACCCTAATGTCTTAAACCCTAAACCCCTAAACCCTAAAACCCTGAACCGGAGGGCTTAGGGTCTAGGGTCTTTGTCCGGCGTCTAGGACACGCTGGAGTTTGGGGCTGGAGGGTGCGCATTGAAAGGCGTGGAGCGGCAAAACTAACTGTTGGTGTTGTGGAGTGCCCAGTAGTCGAGGTTGTATTACTTGGACATTCGGTTCGGGTCCCTGATTTCTCGGACCCACAGAATACGTGGGTGTACTATAGTCTCCATTGTAGTTCCTTTTTTGGGGTGAACCAAATTTTCTTTAGGATCTAACCAAAAAGGAACTACAATGGAGACTATTGGTAGGGTTTACCTTAACCCACCAAAACCCTCTTTTTTTAGGTTCTTATTATAAACCCTAATATGGAACTTCTAGGGACCCTACAAAAAAGTAGGTTTTGGTAGGGTTTAGGGTCCGAAGATGGCGGATGGCATGCTGCTCATCCGCTTCCCTCGCGCGGGCATCTGTTTAGGGTTTAGGGTTTAGGGTTTAGGGTTTAGGGCATCCGTTCAGTAACTCCTTTCACCGTTTACAAAGTTTGCTCACCTCACGACGACACAGTGGTTACTGCACTTCTTGGTCGTTCAACCTTAAACCCTAAACCCTAAATCCTAAACCCTAAAAACTCTAAACGCTAGTTTTTCGATCTTGTTCTTAGGTCTGTTTTCCCGGCGTGAACTAGCAACCTGTCGGTGTCATCGGACAGCCGGCGCGACCGCTTCCTGAACAAGCTCGGGAAGTGTCTCCCTAAACCCTAAACTGGGTTAGGGTTTAGGGTTTAGTGTTTAGGGTTTATAGGGTTTTAGGGTTTAAGGTTTAGGGTTTATAGGGTTTAGGGTTAGGGGGCCCTAAATGATCAACTGCTCATGCTCGCAAAGATGCCACATGATCCTACCCTCGCTTATCCTTTGGCATAAATGGCCTTCAAAAGCCCCATCGCGCTAGGGTTTGGGGTTTCGGGCTTCAACCCAAAACCCTACTTGGCGGTTCAGGCTCCTTTAAGAGTTCTCTATAGGGTTTAGGGTTTAAGGTTTAGGGCTTAGGCCCGTTTCCAGTGGAAGCACAGAAAAGGAGGTGGATTAACAAATCCATTCCTTCCTGACACACTGATCGTTTTCAAGTTTCTTGGCAAAACATGGCTTACCCAAAGCCCCCGCAGGCGACAACGCCGAGGACCCGCAAACGCAAACGCGAGAACAGCATGTTTCAGTCCCAAGCCGAACGAGGCAAGGATGGTTTGGTATAGTTGACGCCGGGGTGTGACAATGCTGTTTTAGCGTGTATCTGAGGCCGCCATCATTCTGACCCCAACGAGAACATGACATTGCGGCATTGCATAGTTATGTGGACGCCCGTATGCAGAGAACATAGGCTCTTGTGGTGGACCCCGCTGTCAATCGTGGTGTGCTTTTAAAGTGAAAGATTGGGCGAAAACTGGCCGACTTGGTTGCGTGGCGCCTTGCTTAGTATAGAAATCATTCCTGGCCGCCGGATGCGGAGATTTCTGTCGATGCCTTTCCACTTGTGTGCAATGACTTCCAGGAAGCCAATAACGACGACGCTGTGCAGCTTGTTGAATGGGAAACTTTTCACGGGTAAGAGCGCCAGAAGTATCGGCAAATGGAAAGGAGCTCTTCTGACTTCGGGTTCAGATATGCCTATCAGGGTTCGCAGGCTCACGATATGAGGAATGTCCCTGCTGGAGACGACATCACAAGACCGCGCTCTTCCTCGCATGATGAGTTGGCGGCAGCTCATGTGGCGAAGCGAGCGAAGTTAGAGACACGCGCTCTGGGTGTGTTATTATTTCATGCGAGAGGAAGAACAGCATGGCGGCGTTGCATGCTGATGTTTGTGTTGTATTGGAAAGTCGCGCCAAAGCGGCTGCTTCCATGGTATGTAGATTGAGCATGGCGCCGCAACCATCGTTTGCGGATCCGCTGTAGCAGCGCCCGCCCGGACCAGATCCAGCCTATGCGGGCCTCCCTTCAGTGATTGCGCCTCCTGGCCACACGTCTTGCGGCGTTTCCTTCCCGATTTCGTTTGCGCACACGACTACACGTCGGCTGATGATTTCCCACGCTGGCGGGGTCTGTTGCTGTTGGGAGATTTAACTTACCCTACTTATAGCTCACTTCTAGCTACCCATCAGCCAGTATAGTACCTCACCCAGCAAAGTCGGATTTCTTGTGGCCAAGGTCACGTTGTTCAGCGTTGAGAAGGGGCCCCGCATTCCAACCCCAGAGGACGTAACAGGCCTCCTCAGCGGAGTGGGTTGGTTCGGGGATTATAGGGTTTAGTTTAGCGATTGCAATTTGTAGAAATTCCCAACCTCACACACGATCGACATGGGAATCGGTGGAGCCGGTCTCTTTCTTTCATAATTACAAGGCTGGATTGGGTTTCAGGGCTGAGAATTTTCTGAATAACAAGGTGTTGTGCAAGTTCTCCAGAATGCAATAATTAGTAATATCATTACATATCATTGCTATAGCTACCCTTGTTGCCGCGGGCAGTGCTACTCTGGGATAACGTCTTCGTACCGTCAGGCTTTAGAGATAAAACAGTTACCTTAAAACCTAAGCCCTAAACCCTAAACTCTAAACCCTAAACCCTGATTCCTTAAACACCACCTGAGCCCCAAATCCAATAAAACGAGGGGCGGAGGGACTCGAGCACAGCCTTCGGGGTCGGTAGCAGGCCTTGAACCCAAAAAGGGTTTAGGGTTTAGGGTTTAGGGGCACTCCGATTTACACAGATTCCTCTGCAATACCATGCACGCGAATAATGCAAAATCCGATAAGCACAACACCGCAAAGTCTTACAACCACCCCAGCATGTGTGAAGTCAAACCTTCAATTCTAACATCATAACTTGTAAGTCCTTAGCCGGGACATTGACCAAAACCGCAAACTCACCCTAAGTTTAAATCTTAAATCCAACCTCACCCTACCCTTAACCCTAAACCCTAAACCCCAAACCAATCCTACACCCTACACCCTAAACCCTAATCCTAAACCCCCTAGGCCCTAGACCCTAAATAAACCCCAAAAACCCTCGGAGGCCCTCCGGGAGATGCACTGGTGACGGAGTCGGGGCTGGCCTCCAAGGCCATCGTCTTCAGCAAAGAAGTAGTGTACTGTTTAGGGTTTAGAGATTAATAGAGGTTTGGGGTGTAATTAGGGTTTAGGGTTTAGGGTGTTAGGGTTATTCGGAGGTAAACTCCTACTTTAGGGGTAATGCTTCAGGCTTTGGGGGTTATGAAGTAGGTGTCGGTTTATGGTTTAGGGATTGCGGCTTAATTTTTGACGGGTTGAGGGTCTTGGGGTCGCGGTTTGGTTTTCAGGGGTTTAGAGTTTAGTGTTCCGTGAACACAGAATGACGCATGCGCACCCTCAAGGAGAAAGGGGACGTAAGATTGAGGCTAGGTTTTGGGGTATGTTCGAATAGTATAACCGGCTACAAGCTATGAGGGGACAGTGCTACAACATATTCCTAGACCCTCATAAACTCTACAAAGCTCTCTGTAAACCCTCCTAAAACCGTACAAGGGGATGGGTTAGGAAGTATAATACCTTTATGATAGGTGAGGTTCCATTGGCAAGACCGTCGCCCCAAACCACTAATTTTCCCTTACACTTGCAGGTATTAGATTTCAAGGTTTGGGGTTCACGGACTAGGGTTTTAACCATAAGCCCAAATGCTTGAACCTTAAGCAAAATTCTTAAAACCCAAAGCATGTCCAAGCCCTAAACCCCTGCAAAACTGCAGGTGCTGAAAAGCGGCACTGGAACAAAGAAGCCGACCGCCTTCTCAGCGGTTTGGCAGAGAGTTCAAGTTTTTTCCATTGTTAATCGTGACTACCAGGGCCGCGTTACTGGGGCTTTGAGTTTTGTGTCTGCTTATCGGGACGTTCTAGGACGATCCAGGAGTAGGATGAATCGACAACGGCTTCTTTTCTGAACCTCCCTTATGGTTTTAGCATTTAGGGTTTAGGCGTTGGCTTTCGGAATCTCGGGTGCAGTATTCCAGCTTCACACGCGGCCTGGCGCTTGTTCGGCGCTTGTTAAAAGTTCAGGGTCGTATTCCTCTGCTATTTTGAAACAAGTGCCCAAACAACTGCACTTGCCCTAGCTTCATCTCGTCGGAGATCTTTTCCTTTCCAAACCGTTCATGATAGCACGTAAAAGCACATTTCGCGTCTGCAGACTGCCGTATCACCGATACAGCCCAAAATCTTGAATTATTCGCTCTTGGTGGTTACATTGTTAATGCTCCGAACCACTAGCTCAAAACTACAAACACTACACCCCAAACTAAGATGCCCTAGACCATCCTTGAGCCTCCAACCCTAAACCTGAAGAGTTGAGGCAAGCAGGGATCGGTAATGCCACCGAGGTGGTGACCGTCGATTACACTGGCTGGACCACCGATGGATCTCAGGCTCCGACAAAGGCTTTGGGTTTAGGGTTTAGGGTTTAGGGTTGCAGCGTGTAGCATTTGCGGTTTAGCGTTTTGGGCTGCCCTCACTTCGACATCTAGGTTTAGGGTTTAGGGTTTGCAACGTAGGGCTGGGGGATTAAGCTACTGGCCTTGGGGTGTTTCGTTTGGGGTTCGAGGCTTCCAGGGCTACTGTGACTTATGCAGAGCTTAGACTATGGGGTGTGCGCTTTGGGTTTAGGGTTTAGGGGTGCGTGCGCAGAGCCCTTGTCAATGTGTGGGTTTCGCATCCCACGAACCCCCTAAGCCGTAAACTCCAGGCCCGGGAACCCTGTAAAACCCAGTAGCTTGTGGCCCGGTCATACTCCGGTCAGCTCAGGAAAACTCTTCGACTCCTCCATTCTGCGGGGACAGCCAGCCACCTTTCCGTTAAACCAGGCGCAACATGGTGGTCTTCAGCAATTGCTTCCTGCAAAAGTAGATAGCCCGGGAAATGTACCTTAAATCATATATTAGGGTTCCTGTTATATTTTAAGGGTACATTCCTCAATCAAGGGCTTTGGAGTCTCTGGGAGCAAGGCTTTAGGGTTCAGCATCCCGTTTGTGGTGGCTCTCTTGTAGATGGGAGCGTCAGTAGCCCTTCCCGGCCCCAAGCACCAAGAGGATCAGTCTTTTGCAATCCCTAGCCTTTAGCATCAAAGTAGCCCAAAAGCCGTAGATAATAGGTTTTTTGGGCCCAAAACTATGAGTCCTTTGAGGTTAAGGGTAACCCTAAATCCTAGACCCGGAACCCTGAACCCTAAACCTCTTCAGTCTTGAGCTTTCTGTTTGCTTTGCAGGGTCGCGAACCGCCGGGCTTTCTCCCCCCCCCCGTCCCTCAAAGGAATGTAGGCCATCGAACTTACACTGATGCTGAGAGCCTCCCAGGAGGCGCAAAGTAGTGCAAGCATATTAACATGCAAACCTGATACACCCTCAATCTGGACTCTATCTAGAAACTAGTAACACCAAGCAGTAGTTACTCTGCCATTGAAACTATACGGTAAACGCTAAACCCGCCAGTCCCAACGACATGTTTAGAGACATGCGACCAGCTCTCATTATGCCCGTGATCTCCGTCGTGAAGCAGTTAGGAATTGGGCTGCGGGTTAGAATATAGTCGCATAGCCGCGCGAATACTTAGTAATACCATGCAATACCATGTCCTTAGAAGCCCTTATGTGTTTGACTAGTAATATACATGTAGGGCCTCCTTCCCGAAGCAGGTCATCAAAGGCTGGACGGAAGGCTTGCAGCTGATGGTGGAAGGAGAGAAACGACGTTTCTGGATTCCGGCGAAGCGACCTGGCCGGAAAGGTTCGACTCCGAGACCCTTAAGGGCTAGGTTCCTCGTGTTTCGGGTTTAGGGGTTGAGGGTTGAGACCCTTAAGGGATAGATTCCTCGTGTTTCGGGTTTAGGGGTTGAGGGTTGAGGGTAGGCGCGCTGCACAGCTGCTTTTGAGTACTATGACGACGATAATCTGCTACATCACCAAGCTTCCACCAGCTCTCCTGCCCTTCATGTTGTTGTGCAGAGCTCGAGACGCGAGCGTAGATCGTAGCCCAAGCGGTTACCCCAAAGATTTTCCGAACCAGAAGTCTACAGAACGCTGAATTGGTCGGGTTTCGGGGGGTCAGATGAAGGAAGTTTATGGTCACCCAAGCTCTAATGTAGGGGTCGGAGTGATTCATTTCCAAGATTACTCCTTAGGTTCCTTTACATTTTTTAGGATAAGATACACCCAGATCCTCCGGCTCCGTGTTATATCTAAAGTACAAGATACACTCCCAAACAGGAACTACTATGTGGCCTATGGGTAATTCTAACTATTCAGGTTTCTATGTCGCTATGATGCTCCACTACACCCCACATCTTCACGGCATCTTACTTACCCAAAGATCCCGTGAGACCCCTTAATTAAGGAATCGACCCCTAAACTAGAACGAACTCGATATTATGATTTAGGGTAGGTTCCTGAGTTGAGGGGTGTTCTTGAGCTTTATTGGCAATTACCGTTGGCCTAGTACTAGTACAGAGGCCTTAATAGTTAGAATAGGGTTTGAGGGAGCTCATTATACTATGATTATAGTAAGGAGCCCCCAGAATAGTATAGGTCATTATTTAGGTCCCTAAACCCTAAACCCTAAACCCTAAACCCTTAACCCTAAACCCTAAACCCTAAACCCTATACAGGTAATTATAATTAGGCCCCTACATTA